CTTTATTTGACGTAACTGACAAGTAGAGCGTTTGATTCTTTTTTCTTCCGGTTCTAATGATGTATCGACTCTATTTCCTGATAAAAAGGATATGTTTCACTTGCCAAAACAATTGTATTCATACACTTATCCGATTTAAATGGCTTGTAGGGGAAAGTAAGGTAAAATGGGACGCTATCTTTGAATCGTAATAAGAAAGTATCTGGAGCAATAAACGCATGAAACCTTTTTTTAAAGTCTTAAATAGAGTCTTAAAAATCTTTAATTAAACTTGAAAGTCTTAAAGATCACAAATAAATATATCATCTTCTTTTCCTGCACTGGTGCAATCTAATAGGTTAGTTTTCTTATGTCTGATTCTAATTTGCTATACATCAATACGATTACGCGTAACCAATTAAAACTATAAACAAAGCACATAGTAAGGGACTTCCGTTGCCCCTGTGCTAAAGTGTTTCGTTTTGCCCTGTGCGTCGTAATTTACAAAAGTATTTAAAACTTACAGTTTGGCATGACATAACAAAATAACTTAAGTGTCAACAATACAGCTTCAAGAACGTAGAATCCAGTACTGTTGTTATCTTGTTCAATTTTTTAATCGAAAGATAAAAAATGCTTGCAACACCTTATGTTACATCAAAACTTTTTCATTGATTATCTTTCCAATATTTTTAATTGAAAAATAACTCATGCATTGCTCTACAGTCGATCTCAAACTATATCGAAGAATTATTAGAAACATCTTATGCAATAACAACGCGATACGAGTTCTTTATCTATGAAAAATATTACTATCTTGTTTTACCTGACCTGTCCGTGTTACCCTATTTTCCCCTACTGTTTCATTAAGCATCTTCGTTTGTATCGAATTAACTGTTCATTAATAGTTCATTAGCAGTGTATTACTAGGCGTATAAAATTTCCCTAAATTACGATCTATCATCTCCCAAATTCCGTGTATTGGGGCTAATTTGTATACAGATTTCCTTTCAGTTTTTGTTCTTCCGATCTAATGTTTCTTAAAATAAATAATTACTTATCCTGCCTGTTATTTATCATAAATTTGTTCATGTACAATATAATTTATCAGTGTTATAACTGTATCATAACACACTAAAAATTTCTTGTCCAGACGGAATTTTCACGTATCAATCTTATAATCTTCCCGTTTAATTTTCTTCGCGATTGTACATATACATGCTATTTTAATTTACTACTAATAATATGCGAAAACTCAAAGAAATTTTTCTGTAATTTTCTGTATTTATTTTTGCTAAATTAAACCAGAAATTTTCACTATGAGTCATATTCGTCATTATATGATAACACACCAATATGTTTTGTTTCGACTAGCGGCAACCAATTGGTGATATATCATTGTGTTTATATTATATTATTCACGTTAAAAAATAATATACTTTACCAGAGTTACATTAATTTTCTTAGAAAAAAAGAAAACTCCTAAAATACATCAGATTTTACTGGCTGTACACTTAAAGTTTGCTCTGAAACAGTCGACCGTTTAAATGCTAATAATAAGAAAGAAAATTACTGAAAGAAAATTTCTAATAAAATTATTAGTGAATTTTTGAATTAAGAGCAATATTTTATGTTGGTCAGTTACTTCGCTACATTAATGTTTAAAAGTCTGTATATTAATGGTCAAACGAAAAATATTTTTTAATTTTTAGTACACAAAAAAATATCGAAATAAATTACAATAACTTCAATATTTAAAAAACACGAAAATTGTTTGGTAACAGATTGGAAAATATTTAAAGAGTCATTTCCCATAACAGTACAACAAGAAAATGAAGAATAAAAATAGTAAAGTTTCGATTTCATTTTTTAAGTAATTAGTAATTAAGAAGTCTATCTACCCGTGGAATCCTTCTTCTTTTTATAATAACGAATTCGAAAAAATACTCATTTTTATTATAAATATAAACTGAGAATCAAGTATTACCCTTAATATAGTCGCATAATATCTATAAATATTTATTGTAAGAAACGAATTTATGAATATGTGCTCCATACTGTAATATAAACAACGATAGTAAATATTAATCGTTTTACAGTATATACATTCCCATTTTTCTGAATTTTTAAGTTTTTAATCTTTTCAAAATATTTACAAATAATCGGTTCTCGCTCGATTTCAAATATTTTCTTCGCTTAATTATTAATTATCGACTCAGGTCATTTTGTTAGTATATAGTTACTAATTTGAACTCTTCTTGTAACCATCCTTCCTTGTTCTTAACCAGTTTACTGCGTTCGACGAGTATACACGTCTCCTTACAATCAAAATGATACAACTTCTTTCAGCGATTAATTATTTATTTTTTTAGATAAACACGTAATTCTTCTTCGTTTTGCTTTAACTTTTCATTAGAATATATTGTAGGTACATTTGGCCTGCGTTTGACGAGTATACACTTCATTCTTTGCTTTCATTACGTGCATTCTCAGACATTTTTCAAATTAAATTCTATAACTAACATTTTAAAAATCGAAAACCATTATGAATTTGAAATTTGAATGTACAGCTTATAAAACATTCGTCGTTCAGCATATCTTAACGTATGACTGACGCAAACACGTGAAGTGTAGATATATGCTATACGTCAATTACATTTTATCTGTCAGCCAGCGGCAACTACGTATCTCGTTTAAAACACAAGTTGTTAATATATTTCATATCTAACTTCGTATGCATTCAGTGCCATCACAAAATTATTGAAACAAAATAAATGTTCTTTATTTCGAAGGAATAATTAATTTTTGGGAAAAATCAATTAGAAAAAATTTGACTTCAAATACATATCAGCTCAATGTATGAGAATTTATGAAGAACACAAAGCTTCAACTTGCTAATATATATTATATATATCAAAATATAGGATAGATCGAAACGAATCGGACCACATTCTGTTTGATGGTAAAGAAATAAAAATAATCGAGCACTATAATAATAAAAATGAAAAACACTGTTTAAATCTTTCTTCTACAAATAAGAAACAGAAAGTGAGACATATAATTTGCGATATTGCAAATGTTGATTGGATTCTTATTTTAAGCCGATGCGCTTTGGTCTACCGTACATATACAACATATTTTATTTTTATTTCAGCAAACAATGCCAGCATGTTCTATAACGAAAATTAGAAAAATGTTTTATATCAACGTAAGTTCATAAATATTTTCTTAAGAAGTTATAATAAAAATATCAAAATTACAAATGTCTGGATTCTTGTATGTAGGATCGATTGATCGTGCTTACTGAAGGTCCTGTTCAACGTGGTGTCTGTTTTGACATGTAGAAAATTGTCATCTTTAATGAATTGAGTTTACTGCCTTTTATGCAAACGTACTATACACGTATACACAGTAATATTTATAGTTCCAATAACTGCCAATAATAAATACAACTTTTTTAACGCAATCTAACATTATCAATATTTTCATGCAGAATCAAAAGAGAAATTAATCATATATAATTTTACTGTTTTTGTTATAACTTTTATACTATATTTATTATTAGTTATATAACATTTTCTTATTTTTAATCATAGAACCGAGCTGCCTCCATTTAGCAGATCAATTATGAAACACTCTGTATTATAGAAAGCGTTTAAAAGTGGCGATAAAAGAATATAACAAATATGCAGTACAAACAAATTATACAAATTTTGTATTTACATTGAAGTATTATATTTGAAATAACTAGGGAAAAATTGTGTACATTTACTGAATCAAACAAAAAATTGAATTGCATTGAAACTACTGTTATATTAAAATAACGATTGAATCCATAAATAAATTTTCTGGATGTGATAGTGAAGTTTCATGTAAAAAAATTAATATTGTAAGTCATTTTTTGAATTATTACAGGAATAAATAGAACAAACAAAGTTTATATTAGTCTTTCTCATTATAATATTGAGATAAGCTTAATTAACTGTCATTTTTAACCGTCATTTTTCTACCTTAAAGAGTTTTTCATGTCTGAAATTGAAACAATGTTGAAATCTTTAATATAAAGTAAATATTTGACATAATATTGAATTATTTTATAGAATTATACTAATTCTTACCTCGTATATTGTTTTATTCAATTTTATTCAATTCGTGTACCGAATTTTCCAGGCAACGATCATATCGCGTTTAACGCACCGGTACTCGTCCGATCACCGAAGTTAAGTAGCACTGGGCGTGGTTAGTAGTACTTGATGGGTGACCGCCTGGGAATACCGCGCGTAATGTTGCCATGCTCTTTTTTTCGTCAACAAGTAACATGACAAGTACAAAATGTTGATAATCTAAACTGTATAAAGATTGAACAAAGTCTAACATATAAACAGAAATGTATAAGTAGGTATAGAATCTTTTATTTTCCTTCTCAGTACAAAATTTGGATGTGTAGAAAATCTAATAATTTTAGAGTAGTTTCTATAAAATTCATTAAAATCTTTAATATTATAACTAGTGCAATATTGGAGCCTACAGAGTTCAAAGGGTTAAACCTATGTTTGTGAGCAAGTACATTCTTTTTACACTTCATATACAGTGCAGCTCTCACGTCTTGGCCGAGCTCTGTCAAGTTACTATCAGTAAGTACAGAGGGGCAAGGGGTGACGTCCACTTGCGGTGCTTGGCCCAGCAGTCATAGCAACAGTAACGCCTCAATTTCGCAAGCGGAACGAAATGTGATGAAGTGAGCTGTATAGTCCACAGACGTCTGTTCATATGCCCCATGAACTGAAGGGGCAAGTGCGGCAAGAGGACGTGGCCACTGGCGATGAACGTTGACGACTCGGTTTCGACCGTTTCGATGATGAGAAATGAAACAGAATACGACGAAGTGAGATACAACGATAGGTAATGAATATGGGCGTCAACTTCTTATTTCTATCTCACATTGTTGTATTCCGTTTCACTTGCAATCTCCGTTTACGTGAATAAGCGAATAAGAAAAACGGTTAAAACCGACGCGTCAACGTTCATCACGAATAGTCGTGTCCTTTTGCCGCACTTGCCTCTTCAGTTCGTAGGACATGTGAACAGACGTCAACTGTAGCTCATCGGTGGCTTTTTACGTTTACCGAATCACGAGGACACGGAGGCTTGGCTACTGTTTATTGTAAGGTCCGACCTGGAACGTGTGGTCGATTCCCCTTGCTTCTCTGCTCTCTTAGGTATGAGATCCAAACTCAGAACAAAAAAGACGAACTTTACTTACTTGCATTATTATTTTGTTCGAAAGTATATACGCATTGTATCAATACGTTCTTGCGTCAATCGCGGATATCCAAAAACAAAGCCAATTCTTGATTTTTCTGGCAATACAGAAACCTTAGATAAAAATATACAATTACCAAATAATACAACTATGTCTTATGTCTGAATACTTCGACTTGAGTGTCCTAGATTTCTTTTTAATAGGTTTGATAGTACTCGTTAATCGTTGTAAATCTAACACTTATAATCCATTCACGAGTATTGACAACTTTGACGAAGGATATTGAAATGTAGACAGTATCGTCGTTTTATGTAGCTCATTCTTGGTTCTTTTTCACTTTTCCAGTTTTTCAATAGCTCGCCCGATTTTGCGATGATGCATGAAAACGCGTTACTTTTTCGATCCCCTTTTCCTTTAAATCCGACAGAATATAAATAAAACATTTATATTATGCGATTAACGAAGATAGAACATGTGTACATTCCGGTATCTCAAAATTGTGCGCATGTTAATACGTGTTTTGGAGTACTCTTATTTGAAATTCATTTAATAATCTATATTTTCCACATTTTCGTTGCTACATTACACTTGATTGTTATTTCGTATTGTTTAATGACAATGATCTACATTCAGTTTTGAAAACAGCAGAGACTCATAGTTTTATAAAGAAGTCAGTTATATATTGTAGTTACATTAATGGATTATCGTTGAAAGAAATTAAGAAAACAATTGGTAGTATCAGTAGTAATAGTAGTAGCAGTAGTAGTAGTAGTAACAGTACTGGTAACAGCAGCAGCAGTAGTAGTTATACTAGTAGCCACAATAGATAATAGTAATCTAGTAAAACAAGATAAGGAAAGGAAAATAATTTGACTGAATCAGATAAGCGTCAGACAGATAATTTAAAATCAATTCTAGGTCTAGTTCATCGGTATTAGCAACAGAGGTTATATCAAGAATTAAGAAAGCTTAACCGAGTGAAACTGCTCGCTAAGTGTTATGTGATAAGGCATATAACGGTTAGCATAGCGCGGGAACATGCTTCATCTTTAACGGTATTATATCGAGACTTACGACATGGTTGGTTACGTGTATTTTGTGTGTAATACGTTTGAAACACGTGGTCGCAATTCAGTCGTAGTCGCATGTTCTATGAGTTGTGTGATCCTATCTTTCTGGGATAAGTCTTTTCGCGTGATCAAACCGAAGCATCTACGGAGGAAGTCTAGCACAATCGATAAACTTTTATATCGAACATGACGAAAGTTTTTTGAACGTATCTGCGGAACATTTATTTGGATATAACGCCAGTATATCTGAATGCTTTGCTAAGACAAATATATGAATATGGATTGGTGGAATATCGAAAACACCAGGTAAGTCATATTGATACTTCTTATTACCTTTTTATTGTAAGCATCTCACAATAAATGTTCCGTTATCTATTATGTACGATTTATTTTTCCATCTTGCCATGGTACTTTGCCTGCTATTCTTGTAAAGTAACTTTTCAAACTATTTCTTATTTCAAAATCACTAGCATTTGCAAATTTATCATGCGTAATTTAGTAAAATCATTTTTTAGGCTAGTGTAGTACTTTGTTGGGAAGTAGTAGAGTAATTTTCTCGTATTACCTATATCGCAGTAGATTGTGTAAGCGGCGGGTAATTATAATAATAAGTGTGCTGGTATTTGAGCCTATAACTGTGAATGTTTAAAATATTCTAAATATCTGACAAAATAATATGCGGGAGTTCTCAATGACCTTCCTGATTGTGCTGTAGCGGTAGTTGAATATAATTTTTACAATGTTTATGCAATTGGCACTCTATAATTACATTTTCTTGTATTTTTTCTAGTACAACCTTCGTCGAGTCGTTCTATCCAAAACAAATGTAGCACCACGAACTATCAAATATGGACATTAATTTACAAAGAGAATGCAAGATAATTTAGTTGTAACTTTGCATGCTAGTAGAATTGATTATTCATTTAATGAAAATATAGCGTTATTTAGACAAATACTAGATATTTAGATTATTATGATTAAAGTTTCATCATCACACTAAGTTCTGGTTTTAATTTGAAGTTCTATAAAATCTCTTTAGATGCTAATGATGCATACCGTATTTTATTTCTTTAAATAATTTTTAAACAAAATGTCTTTTCGTATTAAAAGGCTTTAATTTTAATTGCTACATAAAAAAGTTTAAAATGAAAGTTATTATTATATACAAAAATGAAAGTTTCATACAGAAAATTTCGGAAGTTATGTAGAACAGAATGGGCCTCCTCATCGATTTCAGTAGCCTTAAAATAGATATATCAGTGTTATATGGTGTTAGTTTTCAATATGTTCATGAAAAAATGAGAAAAAATTTGTTTGATTAAGAATTTCCCAGGGTAGAGATGTGGCATTTCTTCTGCTCACACTTTTACGTTATAATTACTGCAAATCCTTCCAGACTAAATCCATGGTTTTTTTACGAATTATATTTCGAAAATTAAAAGAGTTTAACATTTTTGCTAGAGAAAAAGGTTGTTCACAACATTGATATCTACAACGTATTTAAAAATCATCGAAATCTGTGAGAAACCCGTTTTTCAGCAAGTTTCGCAGAACTTCGAATCGAAACCAGAATTTATTATAATAATGAAATTTGAATTATAAGAATCTAAAAAAGTATTAAATATCTGATCCTACAATACTGTATTTTTATAAACGAAATGATGAAGTTTACTATATAGTATGCAAAGTTTTAACTAGATCACATTTTTTAGAAATATTTTTCATCTATTTTCACCTAACATTTAGTTCATTACATATGCTATTTACATTTACAAATAGTCTTATTTTTCATTATTTAAAAATAGAAAAAGTAGGAAAAGAATGTTAGTGATACAAAGCTATTTAGTCATAGGGTGAGTTGCCATGCGGATAATTAAAGTAGTATCCATAATATATAGTACTACCTTTTTATGCATATAGTATATATGTTATCTATTTACAGGCCGGTTATACAAACTTAAATGTGATGATTTTAAAGGAAATTTTAAGCTATTTTAACTGGTAATTGTCAAATGTAACATGTTATAACAATTTAAGTAATACTTATTATTTTTATTAACCCGTTAAGTGTACAATTTAATTTAAAAAATCTCTTATTATGGGTACAATAAAATCAAATAATAAAGTGTATATTCGTCAGTGTCAAATGCACGTATAACATACTCTGAAGAAAAACTAAAGTGAAACGAAGAAGAATGTTTGTCTAAAAAAATTGTTTGAAACATTAATTAATTGTTGAAAAAGTTAGCCCCACTTAAAGTTTTAGGATGACGTGTATACTCGTCAAACGCAGTTAATTGGTTAAAGCCTTTATTTCTCATATTAGGTTCATGGTGCTCCTCATATGGAATTATAATACCATGTGTATCATACCATAATGTATGGAATTTATTTTTCATAAAATAGAAAATAAAGCATAATTGGATAACTAATGGATTTCATAATCACATTCATTAAAAAATAAACAAAATTTGTTATTTTTCATAAGAAAAAATAAGCAAAACTAGCACTTTCATATTAAATTAAACAGTAAATGAGCATACTTAGCTATTTTATATTGTAAAAATCAGTGATAATTTATGTTTAGTTTATCATAATAGAATGCAAGGTAACGTAGATATGTACATATGTATATAAGTTTTCTATACAGAATATTCTATATAGAGCTTCTCTAAGTATTCCATAAGAGGAAAATTATTCTTGTTTGAGTTTTTAGAACTAACTTATCAATGAATTAAAATTTAATAATTCGCGTAACAATTACATAAGCTTGATCATATTTCAAAACATAATAGCTTAAAAATGAAGTTAATGTACTTATCTTGTTACGTATAATATTCATTCAGATATTCCTCTACAAGAATATAGGTATTATGTATTTTTTCAATAATCGATTACATATACGTGCTCCTTCATAAATTTTGCATACGCTCAATAGATAAAATAAATGACAAATGTGACCAATTATTTAAATTTATTGTTAATGGATAACAGTATCAGCATTTTTTAATTTCGTGATATTTCATATTTGGCATATGTTGCATACTTTGGAAATTCACTCTATTTTCATATAAAAGAGGAAACGTATTTATGTTATTAAGTGCAATGAATTAGTACACCGTTATATAATTTTTGTATCTGATCATATCAGATAACCTATCCTGCATAGATTAAATTACATAATTTTGTTCATTACATCTCTACCAATGTTCTTTTTATTTTTTAAATTCTGGTTTCTAACTGTGTCTATAAATTTGCAATTTAGATTAACGCAATTACACAGTAGCAACGCTCGTCTTATGTGAACTTTATGCTTTGACTTATTGCCATGATGAAAAATGGAATCATTCAGAATTCCCAAGAGGTTCGTTTTAACATGTAAATTTTCTTTTAAACTATTCATATACTTCTTCATCCATACTCTCACTGATAACGAACATATTTATCTATTTTATTTGAAGGAAATACTCGCTAACAATGAAAGCTACATATTTCCAAAATTCATACGTCCATTTTACATAAACGTTTCCACCCATTTCTTTTTAAAACTACGGCGAAATATTATATATAGAATGTTTTCTGTGTATTTGTCTGAAGTATTAAAGTATTAATATATGGTTATTAATGTAATACACCCGAAACTCGATAAGCCGAATTTAGTGGTCCTATAAGATCGATGTGACGACCGCATGGGTCGATACATTCTATAAATTACATTGTATTATAATATGAGATTATGAATCTATGAAAGTAACAGTAATAAAACTTTGACTTATATGCACAAATAAATTTCAACTTGTAGAGATTGGGCTTTTCCCAAACTCGAATTTAGTACTCGAGAAAGTTTATGAGTTACAGATCTTCAAATTATCGAGATTCGACAATGTTAAAATATTAAAATCTATTCCTACTTACTCTGAAATTCTACATTCATTTCATCTAGGGTAACAACTTTCTGTTCAAATTTTAAAACTTACTTTTGAAACTATTTTAAGGTTTATGTTTACACATTTATAATTTATTGTACGATATATTTATACAATTTTTTTTCCATAGTATTACTAATTTCTGTATATCATAGATATTTTCTTCGTTTTCGCGATAACTTACAATCAGTTTAAACGATTTAATAGATATGTCTCTAATTGTTTTATCCATTTTGCATATTGACTGAACGTTGGATGTAGACAAAAGAATAATTGCCAATTATATTTTGTTTTCTGCATAATATATATACGAAGAATATTTGATATAGTATAAATATGATGTAGTATAAATTTTTAGATGTAGTATGAATTATAAATATAGATTTCCTATATTTTGTTTTCTCTGAAATATCACATAATAAGATCGTGTTTTATACTACATAAAGTAAAAAATACTTGTATCAGTATAAGAAATTTATAGAAATGAAAGTAATAAATATGTTCAAGAAATGATTTATTTCATTTCTATTTAATACTGCCACGTTATATGAATAAAAACGAATGTATTTCATTTGCGATCATTATTTGTTTCTGAAAAATTTTTTAAAATGTCGCCTTTCTCGTCACCATACGCTATAATCAATTTATATTATAAAATGTACATTTATGATACCATAGAAGAATTTTTTTAAAGGAAAACTGAAAATAGAAATAAATTCCAAAACGTGTTTGTAATAACCTTAAAACGCTTAGTTAGTGCAGGCAATGTTCAGCAGTTAATTATTCATAAAATATGACATGATATGCAAATGCTAGCGATTGAAAGCTCCAGTTGCCAGAAATTTGGAACATTGATAAGCTTCATCTAAAAAATAATGTGGACGTTTATTTTCTTTTCAGATAATGAATGCAAAAGGCGTTGGAAGAATCTGTGGAATTCTTTATTCAATTTCATACTCAAGAATAAACTTCCTCGAAGATCTGATACTACAAATACATTTACGAAATAGTTAATGTTTAATTATCTACATTTCTTCAGTGATGTTCCAGGGGAAGAATGTTAATACCAAAATACATGCAAATAGCAAGGACGAAGCTTTATCATTTATAGATCAAATTACAAACCATATTCTATACAATGCTTAATACAAGTCAAAAATTAATTACTATATTGTCCAGTGTATTTATTGTTAAATATTGTCCCAGAACTGTCACACATGCAAACGAAATCGAAATTCTCAGATTCTGATGAGGAAGTGATACATCTACTTACTTAACCCTTCAACCATGGGAAACGTGGAATTCGTGTTCTAAATATTTTGTAAGATGTTCCTGTTTAACTGAGTTTTAACATCTCTTGAATATTTTATCAGGCTACTGTTAGTTACCATCTATCCCGTTATTTATTAGTCCCGTTAGCTGGTTAGTTTCTATCTCATTCTTAGGACGCATCTGCATAACAAATAAAACTAACCCGCGGTTTCATACCGAAAAATCGAAACCTAGCCCGGGGTTAGAGGGTTAACAAGTTCGCTACCAGCGATTATTTCGATGACGGTCTCCTCAATCATAATATTTGCCTCAATCCAATAAATCTGTCAAACAAAATATTAGAAAAATGAATCTGAAACGAGTCATTGAGTTCCTAATTATAATGTCGTGGCTTATAATTTGTAATAACAATATCTATAGGATTAATTTCATTTTCATTATGTAAAATATAGGATTACGGCTGTCACAAATATGTGACGCTGGTAGTGAACGTGTTAAATAGTTACATAAACACTTCACGAACGGAGGAAGACGAATATTTTAAGAGCGTGGAAAATGGAAATCTTACAAATTCCTTTAAAGGATGTATAAAATCTGTAGCAAAAAGTTCGTTATGAATTGTTTATTCTGAGCTAGAAATGAAATCTTTAGTATGTTATAAACATTAATAAACATTAACGCATTCATGCTAATTAATTAAGAATGGCCGTATAAATTTTCAGTACAATGTACACTGATTTCACTGGAAAAATACCATCAACATATACTTGTACAAGGCAGGAGATAAACAATAAAGAAAATATATAATTATACAATTATAATGTATAATTTATGATTGACTTCCAGTGAAAAAAGTTAAAATAATAGTTTAACGTCCAACGCCCTGGAAACATAATTTTGTCATCTTTCACGTGGATGCACGCGATCTTTGACGTGGATGCACGTCTTTTCAAATATTTTTTTCAACATTTGCGACAAAGACTATTATTTCAAAACAAATTTTATATTTTTTGTTCCTCCTAACGTCAGAAATTTGCAGCATTAAGTTTAAGAGTTAGGTTTTCATCGACAATGAGTATTAGAAAAGTGAAAAATTTCCTGGTTGTAAATGCGTTAAGATGACGTAGAACCTGCTCTTATTGCTTTTGCTTCGTTTTTCATTGATAAAATAAGAATGAATAAATCATTATCCATTTCTTCGGCTTGATACTTGGCATCTGAATAAATACAAGTTTATTCGCAGCAGCAATTCACCCTACAATCGCCGACTGCGATAGCTTGAAATAAACAAAGTAAATTATTTAGAATTCATAAAACATATATCAATACATCAACAAAGATATTCTATAAAGAAAATTAAATATATAACTAAGTATTTAACCAAAGTAATATAATTCTAGCAATGTGAGCATGCGACAAAATATAGAAGTAAAAGTTATTAATTATCTTGAATAATTTTGCTGCATGAATGCTGAATTTTGTGATGCTAAAATGTACATACTTTTTTATAATCAATTGGTGTGAATATATCATTTATATTTTTATTAAATAAATTAGTATTTGTTAAAATTACAGACCGTGCTATATGATAAACTAAGTTACTCAAGAATTTGTTTAATTTTATGTATTGCACTGATAAAATTTCTTTCTTGTATATACGCTTAATTATAAGATTAATTCTACTTTGGGAGACAAAGTAAATATCACGAATTCAGGAGTTTCTATGTACGGTTGTGATTTTAGTTCTGTGGCAGACATTGCCTCCATGTACTGTGCGTTACTGATGTGAGCCAAGTCGGTCTGTGGCTCAAAAATGAAGAGGGGCAAGAGGACTCGGTCGCACGCTCACCTCAGTTCGCGGCTCGGTCAGTTACAAAAACGCGCCGAAACTAATTCCGCCATTACTATCGGGCCGAGCGCCGCGAGTGAACGTTTTTCCTTGCCCCTCTTCACTTTTAAGCCACTGGCCGACTTGGCTCACGTGAGTAACGCACTGTATCTATATTTGATATAGGCGGAGAATGAGATACTGAACATTCACAACGGTGATAACCGTGTATTTTACATTATATCGTACGTTATATGTTCCTCATTGTTTTTCATGAAAGTGAAATGTAAACATGATCTTCTTTGAGTAACTATACAGACAGGTCTTGTTTATTTAACTGTACTTATTACTAGGAGTATAGTTCAAAGTTGTCTGATTATTTCGTTTACTTTTATTTGTACTAAAAGAAAAAATTCGCATGAAACAATTGGTAAATGTTTTATAGATATTTAATAACTATTAAGGGGAACTTGAATAACCTCTTGGCTAATGTTAGCGTCCATAGACGCTCAAATCACGCTGCTCGAAATGAACTAAAAGAGACGCCTGTGAGATGCAGTTGATAATAATTGCAGCAAAGCTCACTTGAATCAGACGTAAATGAAATCTAATTCAACAATTACATTTTCTGTTAGTCATATATTACATAAATGTTATGATTTCATATTGATTTTGTTAGTTTTGGGTTTGATTAGCAATAAATAAAGATTTTATAACTGTATAATAGTTTTACGTTTATTAAGTTTACACGAGACTTTCTTGACACGTATAGCGAAGTCACAATATTCACGTTGTGGCTTGGAGTGACTAAAAATTTGGACGTCGGTCTGCTAGCTATGTTTAGGCTTCGTCAGATGTACAAGATATTTATAGAGTTAGGTTTACAACTTAATGCAGCGATAATGCTAACAGAGCACTTCGATATGCATAATTGTTGCTTTTAGATAGAGGTGATGATGAACACGTTTGCAAATGGACGCAGGCATGGTATGATGTCATGTTGGCAACGTTGAAGATAGAATTAACAAAAGTGGTAGTAATAGAAATAATCGTGATATCGATAATAATAGTAGTAATAATAATTATTACCAATATATAGGGTCTTTAGTAGGGTAGGATGTAACATTAGGAATTGTTTAACACATTGACTGCCACGGTGGTCACCGATGACTGGAGCTTCTAAATTATTTGAAAGCAAGTACAATAAGAACATGGATATTGAATAAAAATATTTAGTAACATAAGCAGCTAGAAAATAGTATAATATGAGTACTGTAATTCCAAATCATTAATAAAGATTTCTAATACCATTTGCCCTTTTTATGGAAGAATAAGTATTACTACACGAAACGTTCGAAATTCTCGTGGCAATCAATGTGTTAACAAGCGTTTTCATCGCAGGCCCATAATGACATTCTGTAAATCTAAGTAATCCTCGAGACAGTACGGTAGAAGCTAGGTTTTCACCTTGGACATTGACATTTTCGTGTCTGTTTCTGCTGCAATCGTATGTTCATCATTGACTGACTATACTATTCAGATGGAATATGTACCCTAAGTCTGTGCATTACTGGTTTGTAGCGGATCTCAGACCAGTTTTGAAGTAGCCTGGCTATGTCACATATTTTTATCTGTGAAATTCTTAATTTAGTATTAAGGTACGAATATATTATATACCTTAACAATTTCATTGCATTGTGTATGAAAATTACACCTTTTAAACAGTAACTAACTTTTAAGATCCTAACTATCTGTGTGTAACTAAAAGATTGAAGTAATGTATTAAAATAAGGGACTGATCTTTAAGACACACGTCACTCTCAGTAAAATTGGGATATACTATTACTATAGTAAACATTAATATTAAATAAATATTACTGTAGTCGGATACTCCTGAGCAGAACAATTTTCTATTCAAATTTCTCATTTCGAGGTTATTTTGAGTTACTGAAATCTAAAATCATAATGTTCTTTTCATGGAAATGAATGGTTTTACAAATATAGTATAAAGTAATTGAAATATCTTTAACCTATATATATATTATTCTCACAGTACTTTAACTTGTTAAGGTCTAATTTGACAATTATAAAGTGAAAGAGTGGGCGGGGAAGGGACTGCAACCCCTCTTCAGAAAAACACAATTTTTATTATCAGAATGAAACTTTTCTTGTAATAACCATTTAAATAATAACTAACGCGAACCAAGCTCTTCACTTTAAGCTTCTTATTCCTTGTCAATATTTACCTCCATCAGAATACGCGTTATTGCTTTCAAGCAACCAGTCGCCAATAATTCCAGCACCGTATTCGAACAGATAATAATATTAATAATTATCCAATTTTCAGAGATTATTCTAGTAATGATATTTATTCTAATCACAGTTCTTAACTCCTTGACTTATAACCACGTGCCAAACTCATGGTGAGGATTTTCAATGTGATTTAACAAACATAAATATTACTCGATGCATTCGAATTTAAAGTAAATATTATTCTCCTGTAATCAATTATTATATTTAAAAGCAAACATTGACATAGAATATGCCTACAATTTTTCTCTTTTTCCAATAAATTATTAATGACAAAGTGGTCGTATCGATCAAAATTGAAAAAGAAATCATAGGGCAAGAGGTTAAGATTCTATAATTTATAACATATCAATGTGGTGTCATTTATCTTAATTCCCAATAGAAAGTTTCTGTTAGATTATTTAATCGAAGAATATACGTAAACATAATATCAAATCGTATCGCCATATTATAATAAAAACATAACACACCAGCAAACCAAATTTACACCGGACATTGAACTCGTATTGAAGAAATTCATAAATCGAATTTCTAACAGTCTCTAAACTAATTTTTGTACAGTATGTTCGACAGTGCTGATATCATTTTTGGATTCAGCAACATAATTAACTCGTAAACTGACAAATCTGGTTAAAACATTTTGCTTCTTGGATATTATAGTAGAGGAGAATAATATAATCGCGGTCAGCTGACAATGATGGTCAATTAATACTGATTTATTAAAATTTGAAGTTCCCAATTTTTCTTGTTTATGTCTTATTATACCGTTTACTACACGTATGCCTGATTGTCATTCAATCGCTGTTCAAGAACAAAGAAAAACAAGCTTTATCTGTTTTTAACATAATTAATGTTATACATTCCGCGCAAAACTTAAGATATTAGTACTAAATTTGGAATCGTTTTTACAATTTAAGTTTAATTACTAATAGATATATTACAAGTAAGAGTGACTATATTCACATTTCGTATAAATATTTCTTATTTTTATGTTCAATATCGAACTTTATCGATTAATGCATGTGCGTGCAATGATGGTCACTTGCCCGCAACATGACCGTCATTATTTATTAGCGCATTGTAAACAAATTCTTCTTCATTACAACTTTACTTGGTCGATAATAAGAACACTGTTTAGAAAAACCGAAAAGGCTCCATGGACTGATAAAACTCTTTGAAAAGCAATTGAGCTTATTGAAAATGGTCACGCGATGGGAACAGCTAGGAAATCATTAAACACTCCCCTTTCAGCTTCGTAGTTGATAATAAAGAATCAAAATAACTTGAAGTCGATAGAGGCAGCATGTTATGTGTCTAACTTCTTCGATAAGCAAAAAATATTCGGTAGAAAAAAGGAAAAAAGATAAAATCGGAAAAAATAAAGGAAAATCTTGTAAAAAAATTAAGGTAGAAAGGAGAAAAGTAGATCTTTTATCAAATTAATTACTATTACATTAATGTATCACCAAAATCAAATCAGCGATATAAGCGAAGTGGAAAACAAATGCCATATTTGCTTTGAATTTGGTAATATTTTGACGGTGAAGTATGGTGTTGGTGTATCTCTTGCAGCCTATGGGCCCATTCTGAGCGTTCCAGATGGGATACACCTGAAGGATATGTATGCGAAAAGTGTTACGATTCTCAGATTATTATCATTGCTTACAAACTGACCGCTATTGCCCGCAGGTATGGGCAATGATGGTCAAAAACATTTTTTTTATTTTTACAAATTTTGTTATTTAAATGAAATAATCTAAAACTTATTTCTTTTGTATTATACCAATAGATAAATAATTTAAATTTATAAAACACTCATTTAAATAAATATTTAACATTAGAGTTGTTGCTTAAGTAGTTGCTCCACTCTCCCCTAAAGGTCAAAACTGTTATTATTTTCAGACTGATATTTTTGTATCTTATCCATTAAGTTTTATAAATCAATTTTAACGTACTCTCATAAAAAAATATCAACAATGTATACAGTATTCTTGTCAGGCAGAAAATCAATAAACATAAAATTATACAGCAACTTTTTGTTAGCGTTTCCATCTTACTTAATTAATTTAAATAACATATTCATTTTGTATTATTACACATAAATAGATAAAATTTATAATTACATTATCGATGTTATGATACATTTTTTGTTAATTTTAACTTAAACCACGCTAGTCTCCTGAAATATAGAAACTTGCAATTGCTTGTGTGACAATCAATAAAATATTTTATGTTCTAAGGAAGAAATAATTTTGAACCTTCGAGTCAAATTTTTTATTCTTTTTAGTTTATTAATCTATCGTTACTTCACTTAATTATTGTTTTCTCATACATGTTACCGTCGCTCGACCTTAATTTTCCAAATATTTACAAAAATATATTTGGTAGTACCTATATATGCTATTTCAGTATTAGCAGCGTGAATGTTATTGAATTGACGTGATTGACTATTGCACATGATATTATATAGTTAAGGTCACTGCTCCGAATGCCTGGCACTTAAAATATTTTAGAGGTCATGATTGCTTCAGAAGCTATAAAGCATTAAAGTTTCGCATCACGCTCAAATTTTTCGCCTTCATCTTAACTCATTCACCTTACTCCTTGCAGTATGTACACATCAGTTTCGTTTAGATAATAGAGATTGGTATTGATAGGTCTAGTTTTTGTCGGATAAAAGTGTAGTCCCAAGAGCTAAGTCTCTCCCCGCCCACAATGTCACTTCACGATTACCAAGAATCAATCCAGTTCAATAGGATTTTTTGCAATTTTAACGTGACACCGTGGGCATCGGAGAAACCATCTCCATCTACACTTCTATTTAAAAAAAAAAATGTACCGATTAATATCAATTTCTACTATTTAAACGAAACTCGTGTGTATATACTGTAAGAAAGGACATCAATGAATAAAAGACGGTGTAAGTGCTCGGTAGTTCTAGTGTTAAAGTCAGTACCATTCTGTTGTGTCGATGCTACAGATATCTGACACAATGCGGTCGGCATGATGACCGATGCTACGACTCATCTGGGAGCGTATCCTATCTGTAGATGCGAACGCAGCATTCGTACTTCGCCAATAGGTGGCGATAAAGGCATACGCGATACTGTAGGTATCTACGTTTCAATCGATCCTTTCTTGTAATGTCCTTTGCAAAAGATTGTTAGAAAAAAGATTGTACTGACCGATGATTTAAATTTTCGTTTAAGTATATACGTGTAAAAACGTTTATACGTATAATTGTTAAAAAGCAGAGAAATTTAATTTGCAATTTGTCGGGTATATTAACATATAGAACACAGTACAAATTCACTATATTTGTTTAAACATTCAAATTAAAATTCCAACATATACATACAAGGCAAGGATTGATAAACGTAGGTATTACGTTAAAAATATGTTAAAACTCAAAAATATTTGGATACGAGTATTTTAACTTCTATGTTTTGATGTTTTATATTTTCAGCAATCATGTGCAAAATAAATATATTTATATTATAATGTGTGTGTGTGTATGTGTGAGTGAGCTAGAATATGATTTTCAAATAACAAAAACCCCTCTTGTTTATTGCATACGGCTTTTTAAAGAATAGGAATAAATAAAAGAAGTAAATAATGAATAAGATAAAAACATGTTCGGACATTATACAGATCATATTTACTATATTATAATAAATCTTTTTGATCAAAGATGCATGTTTTGTAGGATATTTTTCTCGTTGTACATGAATTATTAAGCTTGTTGACGTGTCAAAAATAATTTCTTTTTGCATAATGAGGTTCTGAGGTAAAACTTTAGTTCTCTTTAATTCTCATGTTACTAATGTGTTTTTTTCTAGTATCTAGTCTCGTTAATTGTCTTAACATTTATTTCTCCTATTTATTTTACTTGCACCTTTATTCTATGTTTATATCCTGTGCATATTTTTATCCAGTTTTTATATTCTGTAAGATAAAATATACTTATACCCCGTTCCAGATCCGTTACCGTCTTTTAGTTATAAATTTTTCGAATTTTTCTTTTTTCAATTCTCATTTGTCAGTTTACTGTAAAGGGAACCTCTGTAACTTATTACATTTATGAAAATAATTTTTGATTATTTTCGGTATTTCTATGAACAAATTTGGTTTTATTAGATATAACATATAAACGTTTAGAGTTCCAAGATAAAACCTAATTTTCGTTTTCGAGTTCAGTGACATATTTTATATAATTATGAATTTGACGAATTGATTTTGTTACACTACAGAGTATGTTCCATTTTTGACGATGAGTATATGTTTTTATTAATGTAACAAAATTATTTCTTCATTTGAATTTGAACATGGATGCAGAAAGAATTACAATACACCATTTAACATAATCTTGCTTACCATTTAACATAATCTTGCTTACCATTTAACATAATCTCGGCTACGACTTATTAACACGTTGAATGCCGCACGATTTTATAGAGCAAAATACACAGAATGGGAAAAATATAATATTAAACCATTTGTTTGGATTGCATTATTATTATTGCACGTTGATCTAGCTGAATGGCATCACGTTAGGTAGCATTATGTACAGTATAGAATTGTTTTCAAATAATCATCGTTTAATTGAATGTACTAATAATTTGATTTGGTTGGGAGTCACCGATGACCCCCACGGCATTTGACGTCTTAAGGCTTATGATAAGTTTGTGCGCAATTTCAAATGTATTTAAAGAGCTTTCACCTGGTATTTACAGGCATGGGGCTCGAATTTGAGAGTGATATTTATTGAAGTAGGTATATGCATTGTTATATACTCGTAAATCAAAAGTTTATTAAAAGACTTTTAAAAAAGACTTTTAAAAGACTTTTAAAGTTTATTAAAAGTTTATTAATTACAAATAATGTTTAACGTTAGATAATTAATGCAAAACTAACGTTTTCATTATGGTTTTTATTATGCCGAAATATTAATAGATATAAAACTCGTTAAATTTCGTTAAGTTTTAAGAAATGTAATTTTTCATCCTATGTGAGACGTTTGCTAGAATAAAACTTGTTGAAGGGAAAGTTTTAAAATAGGTATTAGTACAGAAAATGAAAACATTTGGAGATTTTCTGTGAATAATTTCACGAATATTCTTGGTAGAATTTCATAATATTTATACATGATAATATCAGAAGCGGATACGTTAACATTACGTGAACGGTTGTTAACTCGCATATCAACATTCAATTCTGTCCACTTAGAGTG